ATACATGTGTGTGTCATCCTCTGTGTGTGTATATATATATATATATATGTGTGTGTGTGTGTCATATAAGGAATAAAACCATTATCGTTGCATTTTCTAATGATACACAAAAGCATGAGCAGAGAAACACTACATATCGTAGTCCACTGCTTAGCCTTCAGCATAGCAACCTCCATACAGTCCTACATTATGGTCCTTTACTGAGCCTTTCTACCTTCTACAAGAACATTTCTCTAGAACGATTCATGACCATCTTTTCCAGCGAAGTATGCCCAAACTGTGTTATTTTCTTGGTCTAGGCGTTTGGGAAAAAGCTATGCAAATGCACCTAGTATAAAAGGTTATTCAGAAATGATGCCTGTAGCACAACGTCTCAAACTTTTCGAACTCCGCACTTGATTTCTTCAGGGTTCAATGTAGTGAACTATGGTGATTAATCATACCATGTGGTCTATGATACGTCTAAACTTTGGACTTCTAAGCTGTAAAAAGTTGCATATTCTTTTTTAATTGGGGGCGTAGGACATGTGTTTTACAATACAAAACTTTTTTTGTTTAATTGTTTACTGACACAAAAGGCAAAATCACTTGTGTTTTTTTTTCTAAACAAATTAATTGCCAGAAGTAAATAAATTGTTCTTATTTAACTTCGCTGACTGAATTTTTATTCATCTTCATAACGTTTACTAAAGACTAAAGAAACTAAAATGTACAAGGTTTAACTGAGAGAATAATTCGTGTATGTAAAGCAGTCCAACTGCATTAGCTCATTACAGCCGTATTTTGTAGCTTTTTATACTTTGTAAATATATTTCAAATGCGAATTGATATATAATTATTCTGACTGTAAGACGTTTCATTATCCATTTTCAGTATACAACGGTGCCTGCAGTTTGTTTCATGATGTTGTACATCCTACAGTTACGTATTACAGCGTAGATTTGAAGGCAATATAATCTCTTACAGTGATTTAAAGCTAGAAAAAAATGTCGGCGCTAAAAAAAGATTTATAGGCTCCGTGTGTACAGATATTCAAAATCATTGTGATGAACAACTTGATAACTGTGGCAATGGTTGTATTAAAATGATACTTGGAAAATAGAACTCGAAAAAATACAGTTTCCGCATCATAATAAAAGTGACCGAAAAGACTTACGTGCTTTCGGAGGCTAACCCTTTCTTCTCCAGGAGTCAACCTAAAAAGGCACAAAATGTGGGTTTTTCTTCAGCAGGGTTTACTGATTTTCTAGGGATTTTTTTACCCAATAGCACTCGATCCTTCGTATTGCTGCTGAATTTCGCTTGATTGATCAAAGTCGCTCATTTGCTCAAAAACTGATATGTATATAATTCATCTACTTATTTTGGGTTTGAGAAAAATCCTATTTATGACTTTACCAAACTCTCATACTTAGAATACACATATTTTGGTAAATGTAGAAAAAAATGCAAAGAAAAACTAACAATTATTTGCTATGTTTACATTATTTGATA